GCTACTAACAAGCTTTTTCATCAGTTTTTTCATCAGTCACTTAAAACATTCTGGGCCTTCATTTTCTCATCTCTACAATAAGGGCTTTGGAGCTGATCTTGAAGAGCCTTCCCAATTCTGATGGTCTGTGTTGTATGGGAGAAGAGAAGAGAAAGAACACTGGGTGAAGAATATGAAGACTTCAGTTCAGAGCTTGCCTCTGCTATTTACTAACTGCATTTCCTTGTGCCAGTCATTTAACCTCTCTTGGCCTCAGTTTCCTTCTTTGTAAAATGATGGGGTTGGATTGAATGATCTTTAAAATTCCTTAATACTTTAGATTCTATGGCTTACTTGGATTTACAGGTTAAGTGTGAAGGAAATACTTTGTAGACATCAAAGTTCTGTGGAAAGGTAAGTTGCTAAAGACTACTAGTCATTTGAAAGACAACACCCATGAGTTGTGGTGTATTTGTTAAAACAAGGCTCATTACCTCTCATTTCGAAATTACCCTGGCTGCTTAATTGAAAATACATTTTTATAGGGTTCTTACATACCACGTTTTGATTTCCTCTTTTCTGTCACATTTACAGAGCTGCTGATAGAGGGGGGCTCTTTCTTTTTCTCAGTGCACCTTGACTGTTCATTATTATTTTGTAGGTTCATAGAAAGAAAGTGATGCCATTACTCTGTTTGATCTGGTTAACAGGGAAGAAAGGCAGGACAAACTTTATAGGATTCTTCTCACCTGAAATCCAAAGAAGGCTCTGTTCCTTGACAGAAAAGCAAAGAAGGGATGAGAGGGGGCCACCTCAAAGATTTCTCCTTGGAAGTGCCTGAGAGTGACTTATTAGATGAGTAGAGAGACGCTATGGTCTGCATTGTTGGGCAAATTAGGGAATGACAGGCAGATCGTAGGATCGTGGAATATGAGCTGAGTGGGACCTTAGATACTGTCATGGAATACTGAACATAGATACAGGAACACTATGGTTCAGTTCTTGCCCCAGATACTTCATAGCTGTGTCACTGATCCACTATAAGCCCCAATTTCCTTATCTATAAAACATGGATAATTATAGCATCTACCTCTTAGGGTTGTGGTGAGGCTCAAATGAGATTATCTGTGCAAGATGCTTCGCGTACCTCAAAGTGCTGTATGAATGTGAACTATTGTTATTATGTCTTTAATTCCTCAATCTTTTAGGCAAGGAAATTGAGGCCCAGAGTGGTAAAGTAGCTTTTTAGTTAATATTATAATGTAGATATGATTTTAGGTCTTCTGGCTCAAAACCCAGTGTTCTTTTCATAATACTATGCTACCTGGCTCCTTGTACAGTCCAGAATTTCATTAATTTTTCAGAAATGACTTAGAAATTGTTCCTCTGTCTTCTCCTTATCCAAGGGAGAGAATAGCCTGTCTGACCACGAGGGGAGAGGAGTTCATTGGTCTGGCTTAATTGGAGCCTGCTGTACAAAACAATGACTGACCCATATAAGCGTAGATAGATTGAGCCTTGGATTTTTTGGGTTACTGAATTCCTGTAGTTTCCCTTTGGCACCGCAGTTGGTTTCCTTCTTCTTAGTTTTTATTTTATAAGGTTACAAAATTGTGGAATTGAAAGGGACCCTAGCAGTCATTTAGCCTAATCCCTACCTAGAAACAAATACTCACACAGCCTACCTAATAAATGGCCAGCCAACTTCTCCTTGAAGACCTCCAATGATGGGAAACTCACCACCTTTCAGCTACCCCACTTAATTTTCCTTCGGCTTCAAATATTAGGAAGCATTTCCTGGGCTCACTTTTGTCAGATTTTTGAAGTTCATAAGAGCATAGATTTAGAGCTGTAAGGGACCTTAGAAAGCTAGCTAGTCTAACCCCTTCACTTTATATATGAGAAAACTGAGGCCAAGAGTGCAAAGTGACTCTTTTGCCAGGGTTACACAGCTGGTAAGTGTTTGAGGCAGGATTTGAACTCAGGGTTTCCTAAGTCCACGTCCAATACACTTATTACTATTCCTTGTTGCTGCTTCTTGCTACCATTCAGTCAGTTATTTAATAAACATTTATTAAATTGACTTACATTCTAGGCACAATAGTAGGCTTTGGAGATACAGGCACAAAGATGAAATCTTATCTGCCCTCAGGAAGCTTACATTCTATCAGAGAATGCAACATGTAGTCCTACAAAGGATATGGATAGGAATTGGATATAACAGTGTCCTTCCTAAGACTGTGGAGCCATAATTGTGCACAACACTCCAGCTGCAAATGACATCATTTAAATCACAGGCACAGCCTATGGAGCTCTCAGACGCTGGGTCCATTCATATCATAAACACCTGCTAGAGTCAAACCATTACTCTTCTTAGCACTTGGGAAGATATAAACCGAAGAAAGACGTAGTTCCTTCCCTCAACTGTCTTACAATATTGGAAGGGGAGAAAAAATATGTATAGATGAATATAATACTGATCAAACATGATAAGCAAGTAAGAGGATTAGAAAGTACTATGACTTCATATGAGAAAGCAATCATTCTCAACTTGGGAAAATCATAGAAGGCTTAATGATGGAGGTGGCATTTGAGATAGGCCTTGAAAGATGTGTAGAATTTTAATAGGTCACAAGTGTTGCTGAGTGGAATAGGATATCCCAGGTGTAAGAAGAGGAGTAAGTTAAGATACAGACATAGGAAAATGAGATGGCACTTTTGGATGATAGTAAGTGCCTCGTTGACTTTGGACTCTGGACTGCACTATGTGAAAGGGAGTCAAGTGTGTCAAAGTCAAAAAGGTAGGTGTTGGTCATAGCATGTCCAGCTTTGAATGTCAGACTGAGGAGTCTATAATTATCCCATAAGCAATGTTTCATTTAAACATCAGCACAGGCTAGAGCAATGACATTAAATTTAGCAAGGTGTCTGGATTATAGTGAACAGTTAAAAATGTTTTCCCCCTCCTTTCATTCATTTTTTCCTTCACTTATTTTTTGCATGACTCTATTTGTATTCAGCACTGAGAAGGAAGGTAAATATTATAAAAAGGACAGAGCCCTACCTTCATGGAGTTTATCAAGTAAGAGAGCTTAGGGGATAAGGAAAGATACTGAAATCTCTGATGAGAAAACTCCTTTTACCAATGTAGGTCAACGTATTATCTAAAACTTGTAGTCTTAGTGAGTCCCCTGAGTTTCTGAGAAGTTAAGTGACTTGCTCAAGATGACACAGCTAAGTATATATCAGAATGGAACTGTAATTCAAGGTTTTGGACTTAGAATTAGGAAGGCAAGAGTTTGAATCCTTCCCCACACATTTATAAACTGTGTAATCTTGGGCAAATCACTTAATCATGCTTGCCTCAGCTTCCTCATTAATAATGGCACCTACATATCACATTTTTTGTGATGATGATATGCAAAATGCATATTTAAGTATTTTGGAAACCTTGAAGAGATCTAGGAATATTATCTGTTATTATTTTTTTATTATTCCTGGCTTCCAGGCCATCTCTCTATTCATTACTCTAAACAGCATCTAGAAAAGACTACATTATATATATATTTCTATATATATATGTTTCTATACACACATATATATTACAAATTAGAATATAAATATCTAAAAGAAAAGCATTAAAATGTGCTATGAGATCAGATGAGAAAATCACTTCTAATTGGAGAAGTCAGGGAAAGCTTTGAGAGAGAGTAAGAATCTGAATTGGACTTAAAAAAAGGGTTTGTTGGCAAAAGATACAAATATTAGAACAATTGTATGACTCACATTTAGATCTTATTAATAGAGGATTTCACTCTCAGAAAATAAATACTACTAAACTATATTTCTATACTATTTAAGTTTTTCCTCAAACAATCCTGTGAATTAGGTTTAAGTTAGGAAGTGCAAGTAATATGACCCATATTTTTACAAACTAAGACACTGAGGCACAGAGTACTGAGTAACTTGCCCAGATTTACACAGCTAGTTGATTTGGTGTCAGGTGTTCCAAGAAGGACAGCGTAGTGCAGTGGAAAGAATCTTACTCTGTTTCCCAAACTGTGATATCCTGTACCCCATAAAGATCTTGACTAATCGAAATGCTGCCCATTCTTTAAGGCTTCCTTTAAATAGCGCCTAAGGGTCTAAATTAATGAACCTTGACTCAAAGTATGCTGCTTAAATTTTAATCACCTTGGATAATTCATGAAAGTAAATTCTCTTCTTTGAGTCTCAATCTCCCTTATGTAAAATGACGACTAGATAATCTCTAAGGTCCTTTACTACTTTAAAAAGTAGGATCCTATGATCCTTTGACCCTCCCCCAAGTCCAGTGTTCTTTCCATTGTATTATACTGCTGTCTCCCACATCTAATCCCACTCCCAGAATGAATCTAACTAATGAATCACAAGAGAAGCTGGCCATTGTTTGATGCTTGTTCCTGTTGTCTTGTTTAAATAACTGCAATAAAAAAAAAAAGAATTATTGCCTCTCTCCTACCGTTCCTGGGAGGATTGAGATCCTTCCAAAATTAAAGTCACACTGAACACTTACTTCATTAACCCCTTCATTCTTCTAGGGTGAATCATTAGGACCAGTGTTAATGGGCCTCAGCTGGGCAGCTCCATACAGAGATCAGACAGAGCTTCCCCAGTAATTCACCTTCCCCAGTGACTCACCCGCTTGAAGGCAGAGGAAATCTCGGGAAAGGGACCGGTTGGTCATAAAAATGCAGATTACTTGTCCCTTGAAGGCTATATCCTCTTAATGAATGAGATCTAAGGTGCGACTCATAATTGTTCTAATTTCTTCCAATGATGTGGAGCATAAAACATTCCTTTAAGTTCATGACATGCTCCAATAAATATCTTCCCTTTTAAGGTTGGAGGTGACTTTAGAAGGTGATGTTATAAACAAGGTGGGGATTCCCACTCCCAATACCATGTCTATATATACGTATGCTATGTGGAACACTTCTTCACCATAGCTGGTTTAGCTGGAGCAGCCTCACTTGGCCACCATGAAAGCAACAGGTGCCTTTGTATTTCTTTCTCTGGCCCTTTTCTGCTTCTTCTCAGGTGAGTTCCAATGATTATTGGGTGTGTTACTAATCTGTTAGTATTCCATTTATTTGGCAACTATACTTTTCTGGCCAGGGCAGGGATTGCTAATGGAATCAGTATTTTCCAAAATGGTAGAGGGGCTGGCTCTGCATAAGCTCATTTTGGAGGGCAGGATGGGATGGTATGCAGCTGGACAAATAATTCACATCCAAAGTTCCTGAGGTGGGGGTGTGGGGAGGTCTCAATGTACTGGAATTGCCAACAATTGGCAACAGTGTGACATGGCAGTCAAATTAACTAATTAAGTCTCAGGAGACACTAATAGAAGCCTGAGGGCAAGAATTAGAGAAGCTAAATTCCCACTGTCTTCTGTGTTAGTCAGATCTCACTTAGAAAACTGTTTAATCATGGGCCAAAATTTTCAGGGCAGAGGAAGCTTTCCTTGTTGGACAGAGGGATAACAGATTTATTGTATCAAGGGAATGATATGACCATTGAAATGTTTACTTTTCAGTCAAGTCACTTTTGGGGGCCACCTTCTACCCATTGTTCCTACTTCTAAACTCTGAGGGCAAGACAAACAAACCTAAACTCTCATCTATGTGGTAATACTTCAAAAATAAGTAACAATGCAATGAATATGTGCTCTACAATCTCTCCTCCTCCTCCAGGCTCAATACTCTGATTTCCTCATGTAGCACCAATTTTATTCCATTTAGCATCCTGGACACCTTCCTCTGTACCTATTCCAATTTGTCAATGTTTTTCTTGGGCACAGGGATGGAAGATTTCCTGGGTTAGGGAATGAGCCCATGCCTGCATATGATCAGCCAAAACAGTGTTGGAGACCGTCTTAATGATCACCATTTGTATAAATGATCAAAATATTGCTACATCAGTATTAGCCTACACCCTGTATTAACTATTCCAATTTGGTGGCTTTTGTCATATGAACAAAGATTGTCTTGCTACACAAAGCTAGTAAACAGGCTGGATTCTTTTAGTTATTCACTCCTCCTGACCTACCTCCCCTTACCATAGAGTAGTGAAAAGAGCCTTATGTTGAGAGTCAGTACCTCTGCATTCAAATCTTAACTGTGTCACTAGTCTGATGCATGACTTTGGGTAAAGTTCTTAGGAAGTAAAATGAATGACTCAGTGCTTATGATAGATGAACTCTAAGGTACTTTCTAGTTCTATAGTTTATATTCTGAAATCCTTTTTGGTTTTGACCTTTTGTGAAGAAAGATAATGAGAGTCATCTCATTTGATTTAAAGACTTGGATTTAAGGATTGGATTGGATTTAAATTTTAAAATTTCATCCTCCTCTTGTGCTCCTAAGAATTTCCTCTACACCTGTGGCCTGAGCTGGAGCAAGTAGGGGCTCACAGTCCTAAACAGTCCAGACAGTAGTATAGTATTAGCCATCTGAATAATTCTCCCTCCCAGTCCCAAGCTCTTTGCATTTCATTATGCTTAAAATTATTTAATTGGTTAATGAATTTAACTCCCTAAAACATTAGGCATCTATGGTATATTAGAATTAGGGTTATGATTTGTAGTAAAAAAAATCTGGTTTCAGAAATCTTGACATTGTCATTAACTTAAACAAGTCACTTCCCCTTTTGGGACATCAGTTTCTCTACCTCAAACCATGATCATAGAATTTCAGAACTGACAGGGACTCCTAGTCCCCTGCAATATCCCTGACAAGCATAAAGTTATCCAGACTTTGCTTGAAGAATTCTAGTAATGGGAAACAGTACTTCCCAATGCCGTTCATTCTATTTGGGAGAAGCTTTGATAATTACTAGTGTTTCCCATATATCAAAATGAAATATGCCTTTCAGCAGCTCCCAATCATTGTTCATAATTTTGTCTTCTTGGTTCAACCAGAAAACAAACAAGCAAACAAACAAAAATTTAAAGTCAAACACCCCCTTTTGCTGCTTAAGACTTCTCTTCTTCAAATGAAAGATCCCTAGTTTCTAACTTGTACAACAGGTTTTTTTGTTTGTTTGTTTGTTTTTTGGTGAGGCAATTGGGGTTAAGTGACTTGCCCAGAGTCACACAGCTAGTGAGTATTATACGTCTGAGGTCTGGATTTGAACTCAGGTCCTCCTGACTCCAGGGCCGGTGCTCTATCCACTGAGCCACCTAGCTGCACCTGTACAATATGATTTTAAACCCCCTACTAATGTGATTGCCCTCCTTTAGAGAAACTGATTTACTCAAACTATTTTGGTGTGTCAAATCTCTTGGACATGATTCTCATATCTAGTTTTGAATTTTGAGAATTCCACAATGTTCCAGCCATCGTGGAAAGAACTTTAATATAGTTAATCCTATTTTATAGAGGAAGAACTTGAAGCCCAGAGAGGGAGAGCATTTTATCCAAAGTCACACTGAAAGTCAGTGGCAAAGCCAGGGCTGGAACCTAGGTTTTCTCACTTTCATGTCAGGGTGCTTTAAACTCCACCGTACTTCTTGTCAAGCAGTTCCTGGCCATGGCCTTTTCCTTCTCCAGTCTCAGAATGGTTTCATCCCTAATAACCTTGGGGTAAATAAATGCTGGTAAAATGTCATAAAATCTACTACTATGACATAGTCATGACTCTTGTCCTCTGCCTTTGATAAGTCAAGAAATCTTGCTAGATAGATACAAAGCTTTTCCTTCATTGAAGGTTTGGGAATTTCATTGTTTGTGTTTTGTGCTTTTGTTTTTCCAGATGTCACCAGTCAAGGAGGAGGGAAGGTCAGTACATGTTACTTCTCCTTTTTTCCAGGCCAAGCAGTGACTCTTTATTTCTAAATCTTCTATGAAAGCGTGGAACCTGGGTTGGGGTTGAACAGAGAGAATGTAACACTTAGCCCATGATTGTGAACCTCACCAATACATATGGGCTTTCTGGACCATTGAGTCTAAATTGGGGGTTTGGTAGTATGTCTGGGAAGGGGCCCAACTTATCCTACCTGTCTAGTGGACACCAACAATATTCTAGGATCATCGCTTCTGAGGGACCTTAAAAACCAGATAGTTCAACACCCTCATTTTACAAATGAGGAAACTGAAGCTCAGGGAGGCTCGGTGACTTTCCCAATAGTCACACAGGTCATAAGTGACAGAATAAGGATTTGAACCCAAGTCCTCTGACTCCAAGTCCAGTGTTCTCTCCACTGCACCTTGGGCTTCAGCCATGTAAAGTGTGATGTTGTTTTACCATGAGCACGTCACTTAGAATCACAAGACATTAGAGTAGGAAGGGACTTTGGGGGACATCTAGTCCAATTTGACCAGAATCTTTTCTATGGTATGGCCCAGATAAGGCCCAAAGAGGTATGGATATAGCCTCTACCTGAAGATATCTAGTGATAGGGAACACACTACCGCTTCTGGAAGCCCATCCTTTTTGGGGATGGCTCTAATTGTTAATAAGTTTGTTCACATGTTAATTTGAAATTCATCTTCTTGTAAAATTGCCATGTTATACCTAGTTTTGCCCTCTGGAACCAAGCCAAACAAACCTGAAAGATCATCATCCTCAAATGTTTTCAGAAACTGATTTTTCCCCTAAGTCTCCTTTTCTTCAGGCTAATCATTCTCAGCTCCTGCAACAAGAGCTGGGAGGACATGTTTTCTGATCCACTCACTGTCCTGGCTGCCTTCCTCTGTAAATGCTGAAGTTGATCAATATCCTTCTGTCATTGTCACACTTGGAAGGAGACATAGTACTTATGGTGTGGCCTGACTAAGGCCGGGGAAAGCAGAACTATCGCATCCCTTGTTCTCAAAACTATACTTCACCACTCTGGGTCTCAGTTCCTTCCTCTGAAGGGATCTCTAAAGTCTCTTTCAGTTCTAAAGATCCTGTTTTCTGATTTTGCACATGTTTTATAGGCATAAATTAATAATAATAATAATAATAACACTAGCATTTATATCACACTTTGAGGTTTGCAAAACACTATAGATATAATTTATATGTAATGAATTATAGACAGAAATATATAATATCTAATATATATTATATAGAGACAATATAATATATAGATACAATTTCATTTTATCCTCACAACAACCCTGGGATGTTGGGGCTATTGTTATCCCCATTTTATAAATGAGGAAACTGAGGCAGACAAAGATTAAGCCACTTGCCCACAGGTACACAGCTAGTAAGTGCCTGAAACTGGATTTGAACAGAGGTGTTCCTGACTCTAGGCACAATTCTCTTACTTGTTGTACCACCTAGATGTCTCTGTAGAGTTCTAGACACAGGTGTATGCAATGATAGTAACTCACAGCAGGGCCACCATATGGGCACCAAAAATCCTTGGTTTCTCTCATGCTACTGGTGATTCCATATCGTGGCAGAACGCAGCTGAGCAGAGTACGATGTTGTAATGTCAAAAGCCCTCACTGGAAAATGAAGTCTGGTTGCAGCTCTATTAACCATCAACTTACTATATAATTTTGGATGTCACTTCTCTTTGGGCCTTGGTTTTTTACCCTTTAAAGCTATTGGATTGGACTTGGTGTGTGCCAAGGCTCTATTCCAGGTCTAAGAGTCTCTGATTGTAAGTTGAATGATGGACTAAAATATATCCTGTTAGGACAAGTTTCACACCACTTATACCTGTAAGGCAGAAGACAAAACCTCCCTTTCAGAGCACATCAAAGCCATCTTTGTCCCCTCAAAGGCAGCTCCTTAGTAGTCTGTTCTCCTTGAGATGTGTTGGAGAAAGGGTGAAACCATCCACTTTAACCTGTTAGTTCTTAACTACTAGGGCAAAAAGAAAAAAAAGAAAAACATTCTCCCCTGGTTTTCTAGCCCATTCCTACATTAGCTTTGGGTGTCATTGAAAGAGTATGGGGTTTGTAGTCAGAAGAAACCTTGTTTCCAATTCTGACTCTATTTAGGGTCTATTTAGGATCTGAAATTGAAAGGGTCCTTAGTTATCATTTAGTCAGACTTCCTCCTTTTGCTAACAGTCTCAAGGAGGTAAAGTGATATAAGATCATAGAAATAATAAAATCTTAGGACTAAAGAGGACCTTACTGACCAGTTGGTTCAACTTTAACCTGGAATATTGATTTCCTCTATAAAATGGTTATATTGTGATTTAGGGACAGAGTTAGACTAGAAGCCAGGTTTAGCTGACTCCTGATAGAATGCACTCTCTTTCTGTCTCTATCTCTCTCCTTTCTTCTTCCCCCTCTGCAACCTCCCTCTCTCGGTCTCTCTGTGTCTGCTTCTGCCTTTGTCTCTTTCTGTCACTATCCCTTTCTCTTCTCTCCTCCTTCTTCTCTCCCTCATTCTTTCCTCACAGTCCTGTCCTTCCCCTCCTAGAACATAAACTGATTGAGGGCAGGGATGAGATCTCTCTATGTATCTATCTACACACACACACACACACACACACACCACACACACACACACATATACATACATATGTGTGTGTGTGTGTGTGTATATATATACGTATATATATATATATATATATATATATATATATATATATATATATATATATATATATATATATATACACACACATATATGTACACACACACACAGAGTCTTTGTACCTCCAGTGCTCAGTACAGTACCTTATGCATAGCAGGTACTTAATAAATGTTTGTTGAATTGAATTAAATCAAACCCAGGTCTTTCCTCTGAGTCTCAGCTCACTGCTATTTCTCCTATGCCATACTTTTTGTATAACAAGTCACTATACTTCTTTGGCCCTAGTTTCCTCCTTTGTCAAATGAGATGGTTGGGACTAGAGAATTGCTTAGATCCCTTCCAGTTTTCAATCCTGTAATCTTAAAATCCTTAATACTTGATTCTTAACTTTGGGGAAAGAAAGTTACATTGAAATGTCTGAATAACTTTAATTTAAATAGATGCACTTTAATTGCTTTCAAGTGCTTATAGTATGAAAGTGTACCCAGGAAATGTTTTAATGAATAGATCAGAATAAACTATGACTAGCCCTTCAATTATCCACATATGCATCAGTGTTTCAAAATATATAAAACTTTCATTTTGTTCTCACAAGTAGATTTAGGCTGGTCAAGACCTCAAAGGTTTCTTCTTGTTTTCAGAATCTATTCTTTAATCACTTTGGCTTCCCTGCCTCCTAGAATAAAAGAGCTTCAAGTGACACCACCTATCTTCTTGAAATTTGACAGAGGAATAAGCAGAGGCCCAGAAAGGTTAAGGACACTTAGGTGGTAAAGCAGAAGACCAAGACGCACTGACTCCAAATCCTTCTTTCCACTACTTCATGCTGATGTTGGGGATGGGATAGTATGCCTATTAGGGTGGAGATATACCTGTGCTATGATTGATTTAGACTTATGAGGAATTTTCTAGCTCAATCCATTCATTTAATAGTGGAGGAAACTGAGGTCCCAAGAATGGGAGTAACTTGGCTACGATTGTGTGGTAAGAAACAGAGATAGGATTGAAAGCCAGCTAGTCCCATTAAAAATGAAAAACAATTATTAAGCCCTTTACCTGTTAACAGCAGCCTGTTCTGGATACCAAGATGGATAAGTGTAGTCTGTAACTTCAAGGAGCTTAGAATACAGAAACAAGATGAACCCTATATACAAACAGCCATGTCACACATGGCAACAATAACAGCTCTCCTTGCTATGGCACTTTGAGATTTAAAAGTACTCTGAATTTGGGGGGAGAAGACTTGCCTTTGTCATTTTCAATGTAAATCTTAGGCAAGTCATGTAATCTTGGCGTTCACTTTCCTTATGGATTAAACGAGGGACTAGGACTAGATGACCAGTAAGGTCTCTTTCAGCTTTAGTCCTGTGTCATAATGTTTTCTGGAGAACAGTCTTGCAAAGGGGAAAATTGCATTATTATTATACCTGCTTTACAGATGTGGTCATCAAGGCTCACAGAAAACATGTGATTCACCCAAGGTCATACAACGAGTAAAGCTCAGAACCCAGACTGAAAACCAAGTTTCCTAACTCAGAACCAAAGTTCTTTTCACTATACCTCACTGCTTTTTATAAATTTAACAAAATTATTTTACTGTACAATTTGGATATACATCTCCTTGTAAGAAGCATTTACTACATAGGAGAGAGCTATGTAAAATATACTTTAGATATAACCTAATCAAAATTCCCTTTTTTAAATTTAGGCAGTTGGAATTAAATGACTTGCCCAGGGTCACACAGCTAGTAAATGTCAAGCATTTGTTTTGAGGCTGGATTTGAACTCAAGTCCTCCTGACTTCAGAGTCGGTGATCTAACCACTGCAGAACCTAGATGCCCCCAAATTCCCTTTTTCCACTTACAAACAAGGAAACCGACGTGGCAAAATGACTTGAATGAGGTTACATAGGTGGTGGCAAAGTCAACATTTGAACCTAGGTTTTGAGACACTAAATCCGGGATTCTTCCCAATACATTTTGAGGAACCTAAGCCTAAGCTTTGAAGAATTTATTACTGAAAATTGGCCCTGGTGTTACAGGAATCAGTTCAGCCTGATGCTTCTTATAAGCCTATTGACAGACAGCAGATAATCCTGTACTCACTTGGCACATAATAAGCACTTAATAATTAACTTTTGTTAACTGACATAGAGAGATTTTGGGGGCAGAGTCATTGGGTAGCATGGTGATTATGCACACAGCCCACCTGTGGCAATATTTTGGCCTGGAAGCTGAAATGATAGTTATCATTACTAGTCCTAGTACTCTTCTTGGCAAAAATAACACA